AGAGGCTCATTTTTAACTGGCCTGACTTGATATACTGATTCGATAATCAATTATTCTCCATCAGAAGATTGAAAAAAGAAGAGTTTAAGGAAAAACGGGACTTCATTTCGACAGACATAGGAGATATTTTGACAAATTAACTCTTACCGCGATTAGTTCTGGAGCGGCATAGGCTGGAGAGCCACAGCAAGTATCGAGAGGCCGCGAAAGCGAAGACGGTTTGGCACATAACCCAAAATCTATTACTTTGAGATGGAGATCCTCAGTTAAAAGTAGATTTTCCTGGAATAAGTTCATAAGATCAGTAAAGTTAAAAGAGTGCTGATAAAAAGTACAGGTTTCAGATCCCTATGGGCATATCCCATCGAGTGAACATAGGCCATAGCCTGAACTAGCTGCCGAAAAAAATGACGAGCTTCTGATTCCTCAAGCCTTTCCTTCCTAACGATGTAGTCAAACATCTCACCACCGCTACAGTACTGGAATTAGATAGCAAGATGAACCGTCATGATTAAGGCGAATTATTGGGAGGAATTTAAAAAGTAGTGAAAAAAACGAAGCTCACCTCCATGATAATGAAAAATTTATCCTCTGTCTCAATAAACTGATATAGTCGACATATGTTTTGATGAGATAAAGTCCTAAGCGCGTCAAGCTCTGTTGTGACTCGTGGTAGATCATCCTACGCACGCGATAATTTTATCACAAAAAAGGCGTTGACAAGAAAGGAAAAAAGCATACAAAACCTACTCCTATAGCTCTCTTGTCAATAATTTTTATAGCAACTTTAAGGCCAGTCAACAGATGTGTGGCTAACTTCACCTTGCCGAAACCTAGAAAAGGCCGATGATGTAAAACATTCCTTCATATACACAATAGTAAGATAAACTCCCTAGTAATCATACTTGCAATGGCATATTTCTGTCGTGGATCAGAATCCCTGATGTAATAAGATGCAAACAGGATGATAGAAATGTTATTTCGTCAAATCTTGGCGAATTTTTGGAAGAGGCATAAGGAGGAGGAAGCACAAGTAACGCAGATAGATATGAGATATACAATGAATGCCAACTACGGCTCCACGCTTAATGTGACAAAGTTTACTTCTAGC